TGAATGTGTTCTTATAGGAGCAAAAACACGTGTTGCTCCAATAAAACTTCAGAGTATTCCAAGATTAGAACTCAACAGAGCCTTGATGGGTGCAAGACTTGCGACAAATTTAATCCAACATCTATCAATTAAGGTTAGTGAAATTATTTATTGGTCTGATTCTATAATAGTTTTGTCTTGGTTACGTTCTGAAGATATCAGAAAACTAACCAAATATGTAGCATTCAGAGTAGCTGAAATACAAGAAAACTCTATAATCGCTAATTGGAGATATGTTCCAACAAAACTAAATGTAGCCGATGAAGCAACCAAATGGACCAATCAATTACATTTACACTACAATAATAGATGGTTTAAAGGTTCAGAATTTCTATATAAATCAGAAGAATTCTGGCCCACTGATTTTATAAGTGCAGAAAGAAGTAAGGAGCTAGTGTCATTTCATGAACCAATAAGACCAAATTTGAAAATTCAAATTGAAAAATTCAGCAACTATAGAAGGCTTCTAAATGCAATTGCTTATATTCACAGATTTATATTCAATTATAGGGCTAAAAAACAGAAACTAAAAGAATCCAATGAAACTTATTTAACATCAGAAGAATTACTTAAAGCACAAAATAATTTAATAAGAACGGTACAATTTGAATTTTTTAAAGATGAAATTAAACAACTTCAAAAAGAAAATTACGATGATTTAGAACATAGCGTAAATAAATCTAGTAATTTGTATAAATTATCACCATATCTTGACGAAGATGGTTTAATAAGAGTTAAAGGAAGGTTGGATAATGTACATATATTACAAAATGAAACTAAAAGACCAATTATATTACCAAGAGAAAGCCATTTAACCAGACTTATCGTTGAAGATTATCATAGGAAATATTACCATCAAAATCATGAGACAGTAGTTAATGAAATAAGACAAAAATATTATATTCCCAAACTCAGAATGGTCGTTAATAAAGTGAGAAATAAATGTCAATTTTGTAAAATTAAATTTGCTAAACCGGAATTGCCTCAAATGTCTCCATTGCCTGAATGCAGATTTGCTACATTTATGGCTCCATTTACCTATACAGGGGTGGATTATTTTGGACCAATTACAGTAACTGTAGGTAGAAGAGTTGAGAAAAGATGGGGAGCTTTGTTCACATGTTTGACAATAAGAGCAGTTCACTTGGAAGTAGCACATAAATTAGATGCAACAAATTGTATTCTTTGTTTCACTAACTTTATGAATAGGAGAGGTCGACCCCGACATGTTTATTGTGATCGAGGAACAAATTTTATTGCCACAGAGAGGATTTTAAGAGAAGAATTGAAAAAATTAGATCCATATTTAATAGCTAACGCATTTGTTAATCCAGAAATAACTTTTCATTTTAATACACCTTTATCTCCACACATGGCTGGAGCATGGGAACGACTAGTTCGAGCAGTAAAGATATCCCTCTACAATGCATTACCATCAAGAACACCTTCAGATCAATTACTTAATAGCTGTCTATTAGCAGCAGAAAATATCGTTAATTCACGACCATTGACATATTTACCTCTAGATTCAGAAGAGTCAGAATCTTTGACACCTAATCATTTTCTTTTGGGTTCTTCTAATGGTGATAAACCAATGGCTCAAATTGATGATGATATCAAAGTTCTCAAAAATAGTTATTTATATAGAGAACAGTTCGCTAATAAATGTTGGCGTCGTTTTGTCACGGAATATATTCCTACTCTTCTACTAAGATCAAAATGGTTCACGCAAACTAAACCACTTGAAGAAGGAGATTTAGTTATTATATGTGATAAAGATTTACCAAGAAATAATTGGCCAAAAGGAAGAGTAATTGAAGTTAAGAAAGTAGCTGACGGTCAAGTAAGAAAAGCAAAAGTCCAAACACTGAATGGAATTTTTGAAAGGCCCGTAGTGAAGTTAGCAAGACTTTCTATTAATAAACCAGAACAAACACAGAGTACATCACACTCAATATGAAGCTGTAGTGATGTACCGGGCGGGAGTGTTAAGAATAGTTTATTAATTTGTTCTTTTTGTTTCGTTTGATTAATTTGAAAAGTACTTGCGCTCTATATTGTTGTAAAATGAACCAGCAAAATAGAAACGTTGTCAAAATTCATTTTAAATTTGTCAGAAATCCACTAAAAATCTAAGCTCAGAACTGAGAATTTATAAAGGCTAGCGTGAGTTATTTTTATTTATTATTATTATAAAATTATGAGCTTATATACATTTTAGGAATTTGAGTGCTACTAGCACAGCTAGGAATAAATTATAGATTTTTGAAAGGCACTACAAATCTAGTCTCATTTCCAACACCATGGATGTATATGCGAAAGTGAGTTTTTCAAAAAAATTAATTTCAACCATAAAACTTTTACTTGGGACACTTTTTTCTAAACTGACAAATAAAAAAGATAGAGGGGTGACATTTATAACCAATAACCCTGTACCTCTATAACGTCTCATTATCTCGTAAATTATCCAAAATACACAAGTTTTAAGCAACCAGGAAGAAAATGGAACTTGAGCTTTTTTGTAATAGCAGCTTAAATAATAAATAATAAGCCATAAAAATAAATTATTTGAATAAACTAATTATAACTATAGATAGAATACTAAAGATATGAAGAATAATTACCGCGTTTTTTTGGAAAATTATGGTAGTAATCGATTCGTTTTTTTTTATTCTTCTTTCCAAAAAAGTGAGGGTTATACAAATTTTTCGGGGGTAAAACCACCAATTCTAATTTTTGTGGAAAATTTGGAAAAAAAAGTTTTCCAACTTTGTCCATTAGAAAAATTAGATACACGAATGGTATTTGATAAGATCACTTCTCAACTAAAAATAAAACAAAACTAATAAATTTAGTGACAAAAATATTATCATATACAGAGTGTTCCTGAATATCATGTACAAACGGAAGAGGGTGATTCTTTGGTTTATTTTATGACTAAAATTTCTAATAAACATAGGTCCGCAAACGCTCCGTTACCGATCTACAGGATCTTGAAATTTTAATGTATTTATATTGAAAATGAGTAAGAATATGGCTGCGGGATCTGTAGGTAGAAAAGGTTTATTCAGTCACTTTAGTTTCATCTAGAGAGATTTGTTTTTTAATTTTTTTCTCGATAAGGGTCGGTGATACGAAAAAACTACAAGAGAACAAAAAGTTTCTAAATAAGGTAGAAAAATTATTTTGTTTCTTCGAATCGATCAGCGGCGCACCGCGAAAGAGTTCAGAGGCAGAAAATGGGGCATTACCCCTGAAAAAACATCACCCTGTAGATTCTGGCACAGGTTTAACGTGTGCAATCATTCAGCTCGTATTGCGTAACCTATATTCCAAAATTGAGCTAAAACCCTCAAAAATTGCAGGAGCTATCCAGAAAAAACTAAAAAAATATTTAAATTTCAATACCCTGTAAATCGGTAACGAAGCGTTTGCGAACCTATGTTTATTAGAAATTTTAATCATAAAATAAACCAAAGAATCACCCCCTTTCGTTTGTATCTAATATTTAGGAACATCACGGCATGTAGGTACCAGGTGTCCCACTATGGTCGGCCAGGTACGATATTATGGAAACCATAGACCTTACGGCTTCGGGATTTTTTTTTTCTTCACTAAATCGGCCAAGAGAAATTGATGGAAATTATTTTCAAGTTTCTAGGATGACCGCTAGGGGGCGCAATTACGATGATATAGCTAAAAATTCAACTTTTCTCAAGAAATCGCTATATTAAGATACTGTTTTAACACCAGAAATCAAAAGTTCATTAATTTTTGCGCCAGTTTGGTTATTAGGCTTTTTTTCGTATCTTCAGTAATAAGGGTGGGGGAAGCTGGTGAATTTTTTGGGACCTTAGTGGGACACCCGGTATAATACCATAAGAGAAAAAAATTTGTTAGCAAAATTTTCGACTGGTATGAAAATTTGTTGCCTGTCGCCTGACGGCTCGTGGTTTTGTCAAAAATGTCGTTCGCGAAATTACCAAAAAGCAACAAACCTGAATAAAACCAAGATAATAATTTTGCCTATATAATTTTTTCTTATCAGTTTGACAATGTCAAAAAATGGTCGCTGAAATACCATGTTGTTGGTATTGTCTAGGTAGCATTATTGTCAGGTGATTACCGAATTTATTGCCGGTGTAATACACTCTAGTGAAATAGTCAGAAGAAGAGCTTTTAAAGTGTATGTCAATATCGTTTGCACTTTTATTTTGTTAAATGTTTCATCCGGCAACGTCGCACAATGAAATTGTAAAGGAATATGTCAAGTTTAATCTACACTGCCTCTATACAAGACAGTGGTGACAATAAAGAAACTCATTTTTGATTGGCTGTAGGATATTCGCTATGTTTTGTCAAAAGTTATTTGTGTTTATCATTTAATCCTATGGAGATTTATGCAATTTTGTGTTAATATATTTCTGTTTTTGTTATTTGTGCCTGTTATTGACTATTTTGTAATGAAAAATTAGAATAGAGAGAAAAGAAAAAACAAATACCTACTTTATTGACTGAGTTCGACAAAACATGACGGGTGGGCGAAGCTTAGGCGCTATTGTCGCCACTGTCTTGTATAGAGTCGTAGCACAGCATATACAAAAACAATTGTTTTTCTATATGCTGTGGTCGTAGTATAATCTAACATAACCTTAAACGAAACTGCGGTGAGTTGTGAGTTCGAGTAAACAGTAGTATTAGTTTGCTCTTTGTCGAATTACACGTTACAAAGAAAGAAGGAACGATTAATTCTGAACTGGCCCCTGAATAAGAATATAACGCAAGCCTGTAACAAACTCCCTTCTCATTGGACGCTCACTTGCAATCTACGAGTTGCGCTCGCAATCAAAAATAGGTCTACCACAAAAATCGGATTTTTCCATTTCACTCATATTATATTCCTGAACGCGCTTCAGGCCCACGGACTTCATCCAGTGATTTCGGATTGACAGAATGACAGAAATATCACCAGTCAGTGGTTGTCAATTTATATTTATATAAGAAAAGTTTCGTTTCATTCAAAGCCAAAGTAAAACTAATTTTTAAAGTAATAAAATAATAACTGTGCCCACCTTTAGAAAGAGTAACTCACAAGGTAAGCAAACTATTTTATATTAGTTTAAATAAGGTATTGCAAAGGGGTCTTATGGACTTGAAGTAGGTATGTCAAAATTCCAAATTTTTTAGATGTTTTATGCTATAATTTACAGGGTCTCTTCGAGTTCTGTACAATGCGATACCTCATTACTTCCTACCCGTGAAATTAAACTTGATATGATTTAATCAAACTTGCCTTAGTCCAAAAACACATCACACATCCTTACGAATAGCTGCACGCTAAAACTGGAAGAAATTTGGTACTTTGGTAGTGCTAAATTTTGTCAAACTTCCTAAGCGGCTTTATAACACCGTTCACCAAGTCGGACAATTTTGTTTATATCTTCAACCTGAGCGATGGAACATTGTTCAGCTAGCTTTTCGTGAAGTTTTCATTGTGACGTACCTGAGAACGGTGATACATGCACGTGTAGTTTCAATTGCAATCGACTGTGTTTTATGTTTTAGCAACGATATCAGATTTGTCGGACAAAAATCTGATGACATTGGTTACAGAACTATTATAAAGCGTCGGAACAACAAAACAATTTACAACTGCATATCATCATCCACGAACGGTTTGATGGAAAGATTCAATAAAACGCTGGCAGACATGTTAGCGATGTAGAGTAAAAATCAAACGAGAAGAAGCCACTGTCATCAGCGCTGACAAACAAAGCAGATTTCCTTTTCTCTGCGTCCCTACCATTTAAAGTGAGACAAACGATAACCCGTGTGGCTTCTTCTCGTTTGATTTCTACTCTACTATGAACTACTATGGGATGTATACCTGCTTTGTATAAAAGCATTACCAGCCGTTACGTTCGCCTACAATACATGTAAACAGAAAACTACGGGATTTTCATTCTTCATGCTAGTTTGTACGGTCGAGAACCCATCTTACCCACAGAAGCTAATTTGATGGAGTCATCTAGTGAGCTAGATAGTCTGCAATTACGAGACCAAGCCTTGGTAAACCGCAACAAAGCCGTAGAAAATATACTAAAACAGAAAATCAATAAACTACGTTATGACACAGGTTATGACGCGAAACACCGGCACGTAGAATACAACGAAGTGGATTAAGTTAAAGTCTTCACCCACGTAAGAAAATAGGAAGAAGCGAAAAATTACTTTTTAAATGGTTCGGGCCTTAGTACATTACCAGAGTTTACATTACTAAGAAGAAATCCGAAGTGGATTATGAAATTCGCGAAAAAGGAAGTAGTGCACGTCAGAAAAATTTTACCTTATCACGACCAGTGGATCCCCGAAGCAACCCCCGTGAGGGAGGAAGCTCAGAAACGGGCGAGCAATAAAAATAAGTTAGAAATTGAATATTAAATACCATCGGAAAAAGGACACCTGCGATACAACGTTGGTTCAATTAGTTTATACACAAGCGAGGAGTGTATTCAAAACAAAAAAGTCAGTTTATAAACTCGACAGGTATAGTTTGTAAATTAACATGATTTAGTTATGTATATTTGGGATTGTTTTTCTTTATTTCTACTTTAGCGTGGGAAATGTACTTTTTTGCACGCCTGTTCGAAATAATTGATTTTCTATGTAAGTTAGTAATGCATTTTTAATAGCTTTCTAGTGCAGTCGTAGGAAAATAACATAGTATACTCGTATTTGCAAGCATATTTATATAATGTTGATATTGACTGACCTAATACTGACCTTTGAAAATTTGAAAGTATCACATTACCTACCTATACTCTACTTACTTCTTTAGTTTTCCTCGCCCATTTCCCTCGCTGAATTCCCTCACTTGGCATCAGCATGTGAGGTAAAAACGTTGAAACAATACATTCTTGAAAAATAAAACTAATTTTTAATCAACGATGTGGTCGCAAATAAAATAGGTAGTCCTTGAAGGTGAGTTTCCATTTCTGTCTCGAGATTATTGAGCAATAAAAATCTCATTGATTATTACTCGGTACCATGTAATAGAGGTAGGTGCAAGGCCCCGCAACATAACTTGGCAAGAAAGCAATTTGCGCAGTAGACAAAATCCGAAAATGGTAAGGGCTACAGTAGGAGTAGGTTACCTACAGGGTCTTCTTAGCTTTGTCTGGGCTAAAAAAAAGGGTTAACGGCCACACCCACCTGCTTCAGCTTTCGCCAAGTTATGTTGCAAGATATCTATTTTTAATTTATTAAGTTTATTGTCATGAACTTGTGCTCATTCAAATATCATATTTTCTAGTCAGGTTTCTTCAATTTGATGTTATTGCTGGAATATTTAGAATAAATTTAGATAAAAGAATAGAATAAAGCCTGACTCCTGACTTTTTTCTCTCTTTCAAGTTCTTTGATACCATTAATTACTTCCATATTGCAGGGGCGCATATACAGGGTCGGATTAAGGTCTTTTGGGGCCCGGGGCTATTTTCACAAAAGGGGCCCCTAGGTCCCTGAAATAAATTCAAACGTCACTCAAACAAAACTTATTTACCTTGCAGGTGCATTTATTACAGTGACTTTAGACAAGACAGTGGCGACAGTGGGTTGTCTCATTTTTGATTGGTTCTCAGAATTACGTAGTTCATCCGCCATGTTTTGACAAAAGCAATTTGTTTTAATCAGGCCGGCATAGACACACGTTCTTTCGCGCGGTTTATCGTGTCATCTGCAAAAACCTGTGAAAAATCATGTGCGTGAGTGAGGAGGGCTACACGCAATAGGTCGGCATACACACACGTTATTTCGCGCGGTTTATCGTGGCGTGTTGGTATGTAGCGGTTTGCACGCGCGAAAGAACGGCGTTGCAAAAAAAGCGTCATGTTCCATACACTTGACAAAGTATTCAAATGATTTAGCACGTGATTACGCGCGGCATATCAGTTGGAAAGTAAAAACCGTATGTGTATTGGTAAAAAGTGTCATTTATCGTGTCGTTTGGAACTGCATGTTGTCATGTACTAATTTTCAACGTGATAGTTTGCTACGCAACGTTTATGTCTCCGTACTAGCCTCAAAACCGTGACGTGGAATGGCGTGTGGACACGGTTGTGAACTGCACTTATCATGTACTCAAGTACCGACGCCACATTCCAGATGAAAGCACGTCTGAAATCCCTTCCCATTCTATCATTGCGTGTAGCCCTTCTCACTCACGCACATGATTTTTTACAGGTTTTTGCAGCTGACACGATAAACCGCGCGAAAGAACGTGTGTCTATGCCGGCCTAATGATAGAATGGGAAGGGATTTCAGACGTGCTTTCATCTGGAATGTGACGTCTCAGTACTCAAGTACATGATAGTGCAGTTCACAACCGTGTCCACACGCCATTTCACGTCACAGTTTTGAGGCTAGTAGCACGGAGACATAAACGCCGCGTAGCAAACCATCACGTTGAAAATTAGTACATGACAACATGCACTTCCAAACGACACCATAAATGACACTTTTTACCCATACACATACGGTTTTTCCTTTCCAACTGATATGCCACGCGTAATCACGTGCTAAATCATTTGAATACTTTGTCAAGTGTATGGAATATGACGCTTTTTTTGCCACGCCGTTCTTTCGCGCGTGCAAACCGCTACATCCCAACACACCACGATAAACCGCGCGAAATAACGTGTGTGTATGCCGGTCTATTTTAATCCTATGGAGTTTTATGCAATTTTGTTTTGACAAAACATGGCGGGTGGGCCCTATCAAGGTTCCTATTGTCGCCGCTGTCTTGTATAAAGTCACTGTAGCTTTTATGCGGATAGTGCGCCATCTATCAATAATTATACCAGCTACTCAATAATAATATTATAGGGTAGTGTTGTGCTTGATATAATTGATAGATAATAGATGGCGAAATCGAAATTGTAAATTATACGCATGCGATTTCTTTCCCGTGTGAGGTGGTGTTTTGGGGCCCCCCTCATTTCGGGGCCCGGGGCTTTAGCCCCCAAAGCCCCCCACTTAATCCGGCCCTGCGCATATACGGGGGGGTAATAGGGGTAGTAACCCCCCCTCCCAGAAAACTAGAAAATTTTTAACCTACCTAAATTTTTAGTTTTTATACTGAAACTATATTGCGAAAACTATTAAAATACTACAAACGGCAGTAAGTTTCTGTGCGATATGGCAGTAGCGCTTTTTTAGTTTTGTCTTCGTCATTGACGTCAAATTGTCTGTCACTCGGCGCCACGCCACTTAGGGTCGGTTTCCAATAACGATTCACCTCTGGGTTGGTTTTAACTCTAGGGGAAACGTGTCTTAGGGCCGGTTTCTCAATAGCAGGTCACCCCCGGGTTAGGCATAACTCCAAGGTAAACAAAGCAACTGACACGCTCACCCTGGAGTTAAAATTAACCCGGAGGTGACTCGCTATTGAAAAACCGTAGGCATAGGCGGTTCTAGGTGGGGGCTTAGGGGTCCCCAAATCTGGAATTAGCCCCCTTAAATATGGATTACTGATGAGTGGCAAAAGTTCGCAGTCCCTGAATGAAAAATATTCACGCGTTAGGATTAATTAACTTCATAATTTCTTTTATTTCATAATTTTTTTTTTCAATTATTTCATAAATATCCGAAATTGGGACGTCTGGAAACAGAGGCAACTCTAGCCCTCATCGCTAGGGACAGGGTTGCCTCTGTTGCCTGTAGGTGAGTGTAATAAGTAGGAGGTAGGAGCAGAGCCCCCATAGTGACTTTGGTATTGTATATATTGGGTGGGCGTGGGTAGGTTCAAAAATATTGAGTTCTATTTTTTTATTACTATTTATTTTTATATCAAACTTGTTTGTTTTATGTTTTTGTTATTTTACTATGCCTACCTTAACAAAAAGTTTGAATACCTACTTTGTTGTGTAGTATTTAAGCCTGTATTTTCAATAAGTTGTTGGATTATTATTTTCTTTCCGTTTGTTTTAATGATACATCACATGAATATATCATGATGTACGAATAAACTGCTGGGCTTTTTTCACCTAGTTTATCATGAAAAATTTATATACAGAATACAAACTTGCGACCGCAGAGAATTGCGCAATTGTCGTTGTCAATTCGCTGTCAAACGCGAGTTTTCTATTCAAAAAAAGCAACTTGCGACCGGTTGCTGGTTGCTATGTAGTTGCTGTTCGTAGAGAATAGGCCTGCGGATCAACCTACTATGCACATAGGGAGTAATAAGACGAATTAGCTTATACCCGGTTAAGACGAATTGAATCGCTGCTGCCCACTGGCGTAGCCACGGAGGGGGACAAAGGGGCATTTGCCCCCTTCTCCCACGCCTTTAAATGGTATTAATAATTCAAAATTAAAATAAACAAAAAAATCAATTCAAGTCCTACGTAAATAATCAAATACATACATATATTATAATATAGGTAACGCTCTACGGCCATAAATTCTTTTAAAAATTTATGGCCGCATCTCCGCTTACTCCCACCAATAATCGTAAAAAAAACGAAAAATTTCGCGCCTGCGGCGAAGATGCAAGGATCACTTCTTGCAAATTTGACCCCCTCACCCAAAAGACAAAATCCTGGCTACGCCAATGGTGTTGCCGAAGCCGAGTATAGCCGAGCTGCCGAAGGTGCACGAATTTTAATAATATGTAGGGAAGATCAATGATCCATCAGCGTGGCGATCTTGCAGTGAAATGGGCATTTGTCAACTGGTCCTATTTAAGCCTATGTGTCTAGTAGAAATAGTCTTTTGAACAAGAAAGCAGTAAAAGAGAGTTCGTATTCGTATTGCTTTTCTCAATTTTTTCAAAATTTGTTAGGTACAGTAGACTCGTCGTAGACTCGTGCTAGTGTGAACACACGCTTCTGTGAACCTCCTAGTAGTATGAACAGCCAGAATGAATACATTATACATATTCTGTAGTGTGAACTTTTGAGAATATCGGTATTATGAACAATGTATTCGACTACGAATTTAACCGTTTTCTGCCTACTTGTGGTTTTCATCGATTGTTTCTACCCAATCATGGGGTTCCCCGAAGATTTTGAGACAAGGAATGCACAGATATGTTGAGTTACTGCATTCACTCTAATGTGGAATACGCAAGTGGCAGCGCGTCAAGAGTACGTTGAAAATTCTATAAATCTTCAGTTCGTTGTTTGTCGTGGTTAATCAGTTTTGTAAAAATGGCGAAAAACACAATTTTTTCAACTTTCTATGGGTCTGTTCTCACCAGAGTTTCTGACAGTTTGCAACTGTCAGAATGCATCGCCCATGGAAGTTTTCAATGCCGTCATTCCAAGATAACTCATCGCCATTTGCACGTCTATCACTTTAGGGATATTTTATCTAAGTGGAGCTTTGAATGTGATTTTTATTTCTACAAGAGTCACATTCAAAGCTCCACTTGGATTAAATATCCCTTAAGTTATAGCGGTGCAAATGGCCGTCAGTAACTTAGCTGAGCGATTGTTACTGACAGTTTGCAAACTGTCAGGGACTTTTGTGAGAACAGACCTTTATGAGAAGTCAAAAATTCTAGAAGATTGCAAGGCAATAAATAGCATATATTCGCGCTAATGACACAGAAAGCCTAAGAAACTTTAAGACAACGTAGGTAGACATCTAATGCTCAGGTAGAACCATTTAGACAAAAATTACATTTCACTTTCATCAATAAACTGAGAAAATTTACTTAATGGATAGGTTTGAAAGTACCTATGGTATTAATTTTTCTTGAATTTCAAGTTTAGAGACCATTGCTGACAATATTTTGCATTTTTAGGTAGACCTTCGATGGTGTGAACGTCTCGATAATATGAACACATCCGGTTTTTTTGTGCTCACACTAGCGCGAGTCTACTGTACTTTCAAAAATTGGCTGACATTTTCATTACATTCAACGGGTTCATTGTTCAACCACAGCATATACAAAAACAATCAGCAGGCTAACTCTCACGCGCATCTTTTCTGCACACGCTGCCATTAGGGGATACCATCCTGTCATTAATCGGCAGGGGCGCCGAAATTTTATTTTATTTGTCTATTTCTGACGGAGGTCATAGGCGTGCGGTGTAGAGCGGAATTTTAGTTATGATTTCCAAAGTGATTTTAGTATATTCGTGTTGTCATTTATAGTGTTATCTATTATCATTGTTGTATATTTAATAATAAAAATAATAAATTAGTAATTATAAATATTATTATATTATGTAACTATGTAAGTAATATTAAATTAGTTTATTTAAAGCCAATACGACTCTGTGACAGGAAAGAAAAAACCTAAATTATCGGTAATCAGGCCCTGTTTCGTATCCCAAAATGGCCGCTAGTGACATTTCGACGATGAATTACTTTAGGCGATTTTCAGCCTGGAATGATTATTTATCGGTAAATACCGTGTTTATTCTTTTGGTTGACAACTTTGACAGCCAAGTGTGACGTCATAGCCCCCACCACTCAAGAATCATAACCCAAGGAACTGACCGCTGAAACGATTTGGTTATAGAAGTGTAGAGTTATGTTTATTATTCTTATTTGTTTTTTCGTTTCAACAATGGTTTGTTGTTTAGGTAGCTAAAATGGAGCGAAATCTCTCGTTAGTCTCGTTTATTGAACAGATTTTCTTTGGGGATGATCTAAACGTCGATCTAAACATGGGGAGTTGCAGTGAGTAAGTGAGTGTATACTTCTTCCATTGTGCCAGGCCACAACACAACTACAAAATCACAAAACACCAATACCAATTCCCAAAATAATAACAATCACATCAAAAAGCTGTAACCAAAAGATTAACCAAGTCCAAAGCTGGGTTATAATCGGTTATAAGTGGTAAATACCAAAAGCAAATCAGTTGATATGTGGCGTCACAACTTCCCCTACTTTGGTTAAAACCGCGACGGCGGAAATGCGTTGGTTATAACCAAATAATAATCATTCCAGGCTGAAAATCGCCTTTTATTACATGGGCTGTCACTCAAGTTAGCCTGCTGATTGTTTTTGTATATGCTGGGTTCAACGGTATGTAATATTGACAGTTGAGTTGAAGAGGGCGCTTCTGTACTTGGAGCTCTTTAAATTTTGGCGCGTAAATAATCGATTGTAATAATTTTAACCTCACTTTGAAAAATATTCTCTAAGGGCCACTGAACACTTTGGAAGATATTTTAACTTATTCTTTGTCCATTGTTCATATGTAGTTATCTTTCCTTCTACTCAATTTAAACGCTTTAAAACTATTGACATTTACCGCCAAAATTTGAAACATTCCAAGTTCACTCGCACCCTCTACAAAATTTTGGGGAACTTAACTGAATATTTGCTGTCATTGAATGTCACTTGACTTAGGGCCGGTATTATAAAACACTGAACCGATGGTAGAGTTCCAAATTCCAACCTTCGGTTGAATCCCATCAATTTGCATGGAGTCAACCAAAGGTTGAAACTCAATCATCAATTCAGTGCTTTATAATACCGACCATTGGAAAATTACCTAAACAAATGTTGCGGAAAAAAATACCATCATTTTTAACAAATATCGATATCAAATAGGTACGTTATAATGCTCAAAAAGGGGCGTGGCACAAAAAAAAATTAGCCTACGGCGGTTGCCTGCGGCGCCTATGGAAATGGTCTTATTATAATACTGCCCCCCCCTAAGAAACCTCGTAACGACGCCCATGAGCTCAATTGTAATAAATACAAGTTAGAAAGTAGATAATAAAAGATGACATGCGCGCGCAACTCGTGGCTACAGTATAGCCAGATTGTATTGTTGCTGAACAAATGTAGACAATACAAATCGAATATTATAACATTGAATAAGTGATATTTTAGTGTCAAGTGCTTTACAACGCCTAAATCAGAGAAAGGAAGAGCTTTAAAGTGTATGTAAACATTGTTTGCACTTTTATTTTATGATAAATAATAGCTCTGTTTCTGCAGAAATCACAAACCAGTCAGAGTTAATTTCATTGGTTGAATCTAGTTTTCTGACTGTTTTCAACCAATGAAATTCGCTCTGACTGGTTTGTGATTTCTGCAGAAACAAACCTATTATTTATCATAAAATAAAAGTGCAAACGAAGTTTACATACCTACACTTTAAAGCTCTTCCTTTGTCTGATTTGAGGCGTTGTGAAATACTTGACACTAAAATATCACTTCTTTAATGTTATAATCTTTGATTTGCATTGTCTATAGGTATTTGTTCTGCAACAATATAATCTGGCTACACTGCAGCCACGAGTTGCGCGCACATATAATCTTTTATTACTTTCTAACTTATATTTATCACAATTAAGCTCTCTTTTTTTATTTATGCGAAATAGGTCGATAGGTCCATTCTGTCTTTTTTCAAAAGCAAACTTTTTCTAAACATACCATCAGTTTTTGTCAATTTGGCAAACATCCGGCCTGGATGAACGTGATTGGTGGAGTTTTTGGCACCATGCCATAGGGCTTACGCTTCGCTGTTGGCCAGGTTTTCCGTAATCTTATCCTTCCATCTTGAAATATCGACTTACGTTGAAATATCCAGTGGCGGTGGTTTGGTCATTGTCGATTTTCGTGTACGAGTTGCAATACGATATTATACGTCCGAAAAGTTCCGCACGCAGCTGGGTAAGTAGTTTATGAATAAAGTCGCCATTTTTTTTACAACTGCATTTCCTTCATCCACCTCAGAATCGTTGGTCAGACATTAACTTTACGAAGTGTGATTTTTCGATAATACTCAAATCTTTTATCCGCTTGTGAGACATCACTAGACTGGAAATTTTATGCTTTTTTCAAAAATCGTAAAATCCAATATGGCGGCCATAAGAAAAATGGAAGTTGAGGTGGGTTGCGGGATAACAAAAGACGATTGAGACCTGTCATGCACGCTATCTCATTGGTCTTGAAAAAGTGTCTAAATAATGTCACATTTTAACAGCTGTCAAATTAACCGTTTCGGGTTAACTGGCAGAAAACGAAATCCGTCGTTTTCGGTTTTTCGCCGATATTTCCAAATCTAATTGAACGATCGTTATTCTGAAGCCGATTATTGAATGCACTTAGCTTCCTCTAAAACTTTCCCCATTTAACCTTTACTGTAGGTATAATAGGAGACGAGATCCCTGTATAGAGAAGCGAATCTGGGACACACTGTATGTATATGTATTTATATACGGATTAACACCAGATATTTAAAATCGAAAATTTCCTTGAAACGAAATTTTTTTATGTTAGGATAATATTGTTTGTATGCCAAATATTTTGAAATTTTGACATACCTACCCACAAAAAGATGCAGAAGAACCTTTCTAACAACTACAGGCTTGAAATTAATATTCAAATTTTCAGATAACTCAAAATGAACGAAAATCACGAACGATGGTTTCCTGAAAACACGTTTCTAACTTCGGTGAAGGATGTGCTGGAAGAGGCCCTGGTCCCAGACAGCGAGGTGCAAAAAAATGCCCGAGAAAAACTTGGTCTCATTCAAAACATGCCCAATTTCACCTTCTACCTTCTGCACATTCTTCGAGACCCATCTTATCCGGAAGATATCCGGTCTTTGAGCGGGGTATTATTGAAAAACAATCTCCGTACCACGTATCCCATGCTGACTCCCGACGATGCCTCGAAACTAAAAGAGGACTGCCAAAATTTACTAACCGATGCTTCTAGAGATGTAAGATTGAGCGTTTCCAATGTGATTGTGATTATTGCTAGAGATGATCTAAGTGATTGGGCTAGAATATTACTAAAAGTTTTCGCCGATCAGAATGAGTTCAGTGAAGTTGCTTTAAAAACTTTGTTTGAAATTTGTGAAGATTTGATCGAGAATCAAAATAGTGAAATTGGCGGTATTGTCAAACAAGTGTTTCCAAAATTATTTGAATGTCTGTCTATAAATTATTGTAGTGTACATCAAGACATTGTTAAACTCACTAATCAATGTTTGCAAGATCATTTTGATATTATGAAGCAAGCGTTAGACTTGGACTTATATTTACGTCAAGTGATTAGTTTAGCTAACACCGATGATACCGAGTTGCAAAAACACGTGTGCCATACTTTCGTAATCTATGTTGAAAAGCAAGAGGAGTCCCTTCTACCTCATTTACACGATGTAATCATGTATATAGTAGAAAAAAATCAACATGAAGATGCTGAAATTGCTTTGCAAGCCTGCGAGTTTTGGTTGGCCGTCAGCAAGCTAGATGGTTGTAAAGATATTTTGACTCCGTATCTAAGCAAATTGGTCCCTACCTTATTGAAAAACATGAGATATTCATCGACAGAATTGAACGCTTTCAAGGATTGTTTAGGCTCGGATGCCGATACTAAAGACTTAGCCAAAGATATTGCACCTTTTCATAAAAATATTGAAGATGATGATTTTGATGATTTTCACGTAGGCTGGACTTTAAGAAAATGCAGCGCGGCTTCCTTAGATTCTTTAGCCTTGCAATTCAAAAATGACCTACTCCCGGTTATCGTGCCATTTCTTAGTGAAATGTTAAACCACCAGGATTATTTAGTCAAGGAAAGTGGGATATTAGCTCTCGGTGCAATAGCAGAAGGTTGTATCAACGGCCTCAAACATCAACTGCACGATCTTATGCAATTTTTGCAACTTTCTATGAGTGATGAACATTCTTTGGTGCGTGTAATTACTTGTTGGACTGTAAGCCGCTGCACTGGTTGGATAATTAACGTAGGGCCTGATGCGTATTTCGTTCCCATAATGATTCTTATTTTGAAACATTTTTCGGATTGCAACAAACGAGTACAGCGGGCTGCTATTTCTGCTTTTTGCATCTTCCTCGAAGAAGCACAAATCAAGGTAGTTCCTTATATTAATATTATTGTGGAAAGTTTTTCGCAAGGATTGGAAAGGTTTCAATCCAGAAGTTTATATCTGTTGTACGACGCTATCGGGGCTCTAGCTCAATCAGTAGGCAGTAATTTGAATGAGCCAGAGTATATTGGCAAATTTCTGCCGCCATTGATGCAAACATTTTGCAATTTTAATGATTCTTATGATGAACATTTTGTTATTTTTCTAGAGTGTTTAGCTAATGTTATTCCTGCTTTAGAATTGTCTTTTTTGCCTTATGCTGAAATAGTCTTTTGCCATTGTTTGCAAGTGATCAATGACACTTTAATGTGTTGCGTTAATTTTCAAGAAAATCCTGACGAATATGAGCTACCGGATAAAGAATCCATGAGTGTTGCGCACGATGTTTTATATAGCATGGCTATAGGCTTAAAGTCTCACTTTGTGAAATACGTTACTAATAGTAATTTATTGTTTTTACTTTATACAACATGTCAAGATAGTTCCTGTTCCGTCCGACAAACTTCTATTGCCTTGTACGGAGAGCTTGTGACGTTGTGTTATGCATATTTGTCCTCCAACGTTCACGATTTTGTTCCTATGATAATCAAAAGTTTGGACGAAAAAAAATATGCTGTTTGCAACAATGCAGCATGGGTTATAGGCAAACTATGCACAGCTATGGGTTCCAATATCCAGCCCTATCTCTCGGAGATTCTGTTGCACTTTATTCGCATACTCAACGATCAGGCTCTTGCCAGGAATTTGCATCAAACTGTAGCAATTGCTTTGTGTATCATTTTATTAGTTTGTCCCGATGCTATAATTCCCACTTTGGATGTTACTTTAAAAAATTGTTGCCTTATTATCAGGAATGTCAGAGACTCGATCGAAAAAGATTTAGCTTTCAGAGGTTTATGCGAAACGATTGTCCGATGTCCCGATTTTGGCAAGAACTATTTTATATTTTTCTGCGATGCTGCCGCGTCTTGGTTCAATATAAATTCGGATTTAAAGGAAAATATTCGAAGCCTTATAATGTCGTTCAAGAATGACTGCGGCGAGGATAGGTGGGCCCAATTTTCCAGTCAATTTCCCAGTCATCTCAAGGCGAGACTTTACGAATTGTATGGGGTTTGAGGAGCTTATATACCAATAATAATAAATAGTTGCATACTCAATAGCATACGTGAGAGGGAGTCCAAGGTTCATAATTTTCTATGCTTTAAAAATTGGGGCCTCTTATTTTGATTTGAGGGAGATTTAAGAATTTGAGTTAGGTAATTATTTTTCATTTGTTAATCGCTAAGAAAACAATAGGGCTATATTTTGTATTTGAAACGGTATCCAAATAGTATTATATTATTCCAAGATTTTGTTGTACCTATTTCCAAAATCTAAACAATAAAGAATCCAAAATTTATTTAGCGAATTACTGTTTATTATTACTGTTGAGTTTATTAATATTTTCACAATAATAACATAACATAATTATTATGTTATGTAAATAATACGAAATGTTGATGAACAATCTGATATGAATGAATACATACATACCGTTTTACGAATCTACTTATTGATTAATGCCGGATATCTGCCAGAATTTTCGAGGATGGAATTCAAAGGTGATAGAATAATATGTAATCTAGCGAACTACAAAATGCTCAAGGATTATCAGCAGACAACAAAAGAGCATTGAGATTGATTTTCAGATATATAGTTAGTTAATCAGTTATAATTGTTTTGTGATCAGTTATAGTATTTTATGTAATGCTACTACCCACACTGAGAGAGCTTGTTCATAACTCATTTAAGCCTGGTTGAGGGTTGAGTTACGTAATACTGTATTATCGTAAGTACTAGTGATGTAACGAACTCATTACGTAACTAGTTTTTAAAACGACACTTTTGAAAATTCAGTTATTCGAAAAAAATTATAAACACAATCTGTTGTAAATAGTTATTAACGTCATGAGGCCGATAAGTAGCAAATAACGGCCGGGCTGAAGTTTGTGATACGGGCAGTGGCGGATCCAGGGTGGGGGGGCGCGCGCCCCCCCCCTCCTGAGAGCCTTAATAAAATTTACTAAATTTTTTTTAAAAAAACATAGATAGAATAATTTTATAAAAGAATTTTCAAATAAAAGTTCTTGGAAAAATTTTCCAATAAAATATTATGGGAAAATTCTCCAACCTACACCATTGCCGTGACCATTGTTCAATTTATTGTTTGGTTTTTATCAAATAAATGCGTTATATCTTTATTTGGAATAGGTATTTTTATTTGTTATTTTCGGTTTTTTGATATGTGCAAGGTTGTCCAATTTGGACACAACGTCAACTACTGAGCGAGATACAAAAAAATTGTGGTTAGAGAATCCAGTGACTTTCTCAGTTCTTTTCTATTTGCTACCGAATTCGAGATATTAACCAGAATCCAATTGTTTTGATGCGACACCGGACACTCTATATATTAATAATTGATTGGATAGCTCTGCTTTCGCTGCTTTCATTGATATTAAGTTCGATAGGTTTATCTCTGGCCTTATTCTGTAAGGAACGAACCGTTCGATTCGGTAGAATTTTTTTCGATTGTGACGTCATTTTCGGTTTGGTAGCGCGAAAACCAAACCGAAAATGACGTCACAATCAAAAAATTCTACCGAATCGAACGGTTCGTTCCTTACAGAATAAGGCCCCTGATTTCGACAAGAGAGAAGAAGACAGCAAGTGCCATAGCGATAGGAATAACGATCTCTATCCGTTACAGAGTCCCAGCCCTGGGTCCTTATTCTCGAAACAGAGGAGCAGCGTTCTCATGAGAACGAAGGTTTTGTCTTCGTTGCTCATATTCATATTTCCATAACACTAACAAAAACTGAAACATCGTTCTCATGTGAACGCTGTTCCCTAATTTCGAGATTAAGGACCCTGACACATTGTTTCTTTTGACTGAAACATCTATAATTTTTTTTTTCTTGAAAACTGTTAGAGATAGACCCATTAAACCTTAAAAATATCATTGAAATAAGCAATAATAGAGCTATCAATGAGTTATTAATATACATCAGGGTGTTTCACGGTGGATGACGTATTAGACGTTGGAGAACTAAAAAGCGGATCATTTTGAAAATTTGACAACCGGGATAAACGACCATAATCTACACTTTAAAAATATTTTTGTTTATGCTATACCTAAGTTCAACTTTTTTGGAAATATTGACAGTTGAAAATTGACTTTTTGCAACTTTGACAGGCTGTAAAACTTAAACGGTTAATTGTAGAGGAAAACCTATTTTACATTCGCATCTTAAAGGATTTTTTAGCGACTAACCGTTTGTAACCGTGTTATAAACGGTAACTGAAAATCCCTAACCGTTGAAATTTTAGCGAGGCAGCGGTAATAGGGGAAGTTATTATCCGTGCGTTCGGTATTTTGATCTAAGTTCTCCGAGCATAAATTTACCGTTCGTTTATTTGAAAAGTGTATTCGGTGCAGGCTCATTCACGTTCGTTTATTAAAATTTCAAGACCTCTGCTCTGATCCAGCGTTTAGCTGCTCTGTGCGCTCGTCGTTCACGTGATCACGGCTCCGCTCTGCACGCTCTGCTCTTTGAGCAAAATAGCCAAAATACCGAACGCAAGGTATGACGACAATAGGGGAAGTCAATGATGTTACGCATTTGTAACACGGTATTAAATGCAGTAACCTATGTAGGACCCTGAGTTACTGGCGGTTATAGAACATTTGACAGTTCGATTTTATTCAAATATGGGCGTTTGGGTTTGTTTACCTTACTCTAACGTCAAACCGGAAAATTAGAAAATATTATTGCGGGACATGGACATGGGTTTCTGGTTGTTAGTTTAAACGTAAAAGGTAAAAAAAAACGCTCAGTAAGGTAGAACGTGTAATATCCGATCCATTCCTTAAAGATCCGGGGGACCAACATGGCAGAAAATATTGAAATTTTAACTGAAGTTACTTTAAACAATGAAGGGGAGAATCACCATCTTTGTTCCCTTGGACCTAGCGAATATACTTCTTAAAGGTAAAAACAATATGTGAAATTGTTTCATTTGATAGGTGCGTAGAGTACATTTTTAACAGTATTCAATTTTAATTTATGTGTGTTGATCATTATATTGATCATCTCGCCATGTTTTTTGTTTATTGTGTGCTTGCCTTTTGGCGGACATTCAATTTAAGTTTGACAGCTTCTTGGATAGTCTAGCCGAGTCTAGCCCGCATTAGTTGTATTCCTTTCAAGAGCTTGAAACACTAGAGCTACTCGCTCCGGTGTTAGTCGACCCCGATTTGAAAGGAACAGATGCGCTGGCTTTCATGCATTTAAATGGTTTGAGTCGGGCTTGAGCACTCAGGTGCAACAAAAACTTTTCGAAAGGAATAAGCGCGTAACGCCCTGGAGCTGTTCCGGAGCTCCTCCTCCTTTATCACGTGGGGGTAATTTTGACACAGCACCAGTGGTGAGGGTAATAACCGTACGGTTAAAGCTCGTGATAACACGGTAACAAACGGTTTCTCGCTAAAAAATCCCTTTAGATTTTCATAAACTATCATTTGGCACCAACTTTGAACTTAACCGGAGATTAAATTTAACTGGAATTTTCAATCATGGATTTAATTCAAAGTTGGTGTCAAATGATAGTTTATAAAAATCTAAGATCGGAATGTAAAATCGGTTTTGCTCTAAAATTAACCGTTCAGGTTTTACAGCCTGTCAAAGTTGCAAAAAATCAATTTTCAACTGTCAATATTTCCAAAACAGTTGAACTTAGATATAGAATGTATCACATGAAATCTGCTCAGAATTTTACGTAGAATCCAAATATGTAATCACATATAGGGTGTTCCATTTAGAATAGCGATGTTGCCACTAGTTTAGAGTAGAAGCGGCAACACCGCATGGTCAAAAATATTTTTAAAGTGTAGATCAGGGTGGTTTATCCCGGTTGCCAAATTTTCAAAATGATCCGCTTTTTAGTTCTCCATTACCGTCTAAGGGCCCAATTACAGTATATTTGCATCTGCAAATTTGCAGTTCTGCAAATATGGCCGACTTGCATATGGTCTTTATTTGCAGGAACGAGCGAATTATAGAAAAAATCTGGTATTCCGTCATATTTATCGAAGAAAACTGCAAGGAGTGCTTGCAAGGACTTACGGAACCGTTTCACCATGCGCAAAGGACATCGCACACATCTTATGGGTTTTCGGGGACCGGTTGATTTTTTAAAAAATTTGGTATGTTGTGGTACTAGTGAAAATAAGTATTTTTCATCATTGCGCAAAATCTCTAACTATACAGGGTGACCCAGTAAAGTAGGTTCGAAAATTATAAACCAAGCCTTTCTATTATCGGTATATTAGCGCACCCTACAAGCTAAATATCGAGATTTTTGTTTTCGATTTCGCAAAAAATAGTCAGATAAGCCTAATATACTATACAGGGTAGCTGAGCTTGCGTATTTTTTTAGAAATCCTGCCCTATTTTTAGAAATAGTGTTACCAAAAAGGTTGCGCTAGATTTTATTTAGCTGTAACTTTTTTAATTTTTGTCCGATTTAAAAAAATGTGGTATCAAAATAAAGCCTATATCACAGGGATGTCATAAAATCTAAAAAAATTAAAAATGTGATAAAATTCGAGAAGGTTGAACGTGATAAAAGTATAACTTTTCATTCGATTAGGGTCTTGGATACACCAAATACACCTAAATTAAGAAGCGGTTCCTCAATTGCGAGTAACTCTAGGGGTTAACTAACCCGGTGTTAATTTCAACCTTGCAGGTTAACTGAGGATTGTGTTTCTCAAGCATCCACTGTAGGTGGAGTTAATAAACACTGGGTTAAGCAATAGTTGGTAGCATTATTGTTTACCAGAATGGTGATCCTAACATATTTTTGATTGGTCGAAAGCAGTCACGCATGGGTCGATCGTCAAATTAGCCCATTCACAAAACTTTTTGGAGTTTGTTGTTAAGTTAATGATAAGTTCGAGTATTCTTTTTGGCGCACCGTTTTTTCATTACAATTTGTTAATTTTTGAAGAGCGTGGTTAATGCAGTGTGTGTAGTCAATAGTCATGGAGAAGAAAGATATCGCAAGAGGAAAAAACTTCCTTGAATTAGAAAAAATAATAATAATCAAGCTATAATATAAGCGAAATATGGAGTGCACGAGGTCATACATGAACTTTTAATCCTTTGTATAGAGAAATCCTAGTCATCGTATTTCTCGAGAGAATTAATCCTTTGGCGGATTATATATTATATATTTCTATTTTGAAAAGAAAAAATATTACCACAAAATTGACAAATCACGATCACGAATCATCAGGTTATCTCAAAGGGTAAATCCATAAATCCATAAATCGCTAAACCCGCAATATCATCAACAGTGAGCCAATTTAACCCAAAGGTTACACCAAAAGTT